TCGTCATGGTGTCAAAGCAGCATCGTCTCAGCTTTCAACAATCATGATGATGGCAGTTTTTATCGTTCTTCAGAGTCGATCAACTCATCTGTTTTACACTGCTGGACAATACGGGGGGTGGAAAGGTTGCAAAATAATGGCGCAATGTACTCGTACAAGAGCAATTTTTGCAGTAAGTGTCAACTTTCCAATATCGAAGTCAACAGTATAACTACGTATACAGTAAATGGCAAAAGAAATTACAAACTTGATTTGCCTATACAATCGGCAGGGAGAGGGTAACAGAAGGAAAAAAAAACCAATAAACTGACCAACTAACTTTTCAAAGGATCAGTTTACTTAACACGTTGATCTAAAATGGTGTGCAATTCGTAAACAGATGACAACTTTACAGCAGCAAAGTAGAGTATTGAGACAACACTACTGTACTGTATTGTATTGTACAGTGGAGGAAAGTGGACAATATAGCGTCGTCATATGACATCTTGTGCTGGCCAAGGCCTACACCCCACCCTCAAGTGTTTGGCCTTTAGCGTTGGATAAGATGTGGTTCAATTTTTTTTCACTTCCACTTACCCGATATCATAGCCAAAGAGGAAACCACCAATGGTTGCAAAGATGGAAAAGAAAATTACAAATCCAGTAATAGGTACCTTGACGGATGATTTGATGACTTCAGCGACGCTGCGAGGTTTGCCTTCGTTATCTGCCATGTTTCTTACTGTTGGATAAGGTCAAAATTAAAAAAAAAAAAGATAGGGTTCAGTTGAAGTTCAATTTTATTTTTTTCATCAGAATTAGCGAGTACAAAGTAGACATGTATTTAACATCAAGAGTAGACATCAAGTCAGTTGCAATAGAAACTGTCAAGACACGATGGCGACAAATGAGAACCTTGAGGTAAAAAAAGTTTGCCGAGTTTAGATTGGAAAAAAAAATGAACAGTTGGTTGGCCAGGATACGCACTGTACCGTACAACGCGACTGGTACAAGCATCAGTAGGAAACAAAAACCAAGCCGAGCGCTGCTATTCTCCAGTCAAAACAGTGCGTACCAAGCAGTCCAATCCTTCACCTTGATTGGAACCGTTTATCAACGGCGAAACAAACTATGTAAACGTCTTGTCCATGCTAAAATGCAATGGACATGGGCTGAGCCCATCTCTATTCTATTTCTATGACACTTGCTTGGCTCATTCTTTACAAAATAAAATACA